GGTTCAAATTGGCCACTGAACGTAACCTGAAAATGCAATTAGGCCACTGAACGAACAAAAAGTGCAATTAGGCCACTGAACACTCCAAAAACGTGCAATTAGGCCACTGAACTCTTCAAACGTATGCAATTTCACCGGATAACATGTTACCTGCTTACGTGGCAGCTGAGTTGGCATTTTTAATAATTTTTAAATAATTTTTAATAATTAATTTTAATAATAAATTTTATAAAAAAATTGAAAAAAAAATAAAAAATAAAATAAAGTCATTTAAAAAAAAAATTTAATAAAAATTTATTATTAAAATTTATTAAAAATGATTTAGAATTTATTAAAAATTCCAACTCAGCTGCCACGTAAGCAGATAACCTGCTAAAATTGAGGGTAACCTGCTATCAGGTAAAATTGCACATTTTTGGAGTGTTCAGTGGCCTAATTGCACTTTGTTTTCGTTCAGTGGCCTAATTGCATTTTTAGGTTACGTTCAGTGGCCAATTTGAACCTTATTCCTATTTAATTTACTAGACAAATAAATTAAATTCTTTTGTTATATATTCATTAAAAAATGTGATATTGCTACATTTAGGTTTGGTTCATTAGTTTACATATCAGGAATGAGAATAAAATCATAGTTAATTGGTATTTCTTATGTAATAAAGTAATAAACGAGACAATTAAAATGTGATGGATGAATTATTTAAGAGTTAATATCATCTGGGGTCCTCCAAGTATAATGGTATTGTCACGTTTAGTTTTAAACTTTTAAATTGACCATCCGTGATCCAAGTTAACCACCAATGGTCTTTAAACTATCAAATTCTAACCACCCATTGTCCTCGAAAGTTGAAGAACCATGTGTGGTAAATTTAGACTAGAGATGTAGCAATTTGAAAGTCGAAGGACTATAAGTTATCATTTTAATAATTTAAGACTAAACGTAGCAAAATCACTATCCTCGTAAGATTCTATATGAGATTAACTCAATTAAGTAATTAATTAATGATCAAAGGCAATATTACATCTTAGTAAAATCCGTAGATCCGCAACGCTTATATGGATATTCTTTTTTGTTATTCCATTCCTTTCACATTCTTCTATTTTCTTTTTAATTAAAAACACATTCTTTAATGGAAAAAAAAAAATTTGCATCACTGTTATCTAAATTCCTGAAAGTGACTATTTTTTTTTAATACTACTAACTCTATTACACTGTAGTATCTGTTCATAACCACTTTTTCAACCAAATGAAGTACAAAGAGTCAATATTACCTCCACTGGAACTCAAACCACAACTTCTCATATAAGAGAGCAATTTGGTACCATTGGATCACAAGGTCTTTGACCTGAAAGGGACTATTGATTCATTATAATAGAAGGAACTATTTTTAAATTTGTCAAGTAAAATGGGAAAATTATATTTATTTATCGGTATTTTTCAATATAAAATGGGGTATCAATGTATCATCTTCCATTTCTTGTTGTATCCACCTCTTAGATAAAAATAAAATTCATTTCTTTTTCCTAAATTGAGTGTTTTTTAATAGAAATTTATTTTAGAAAAATAATATATTTTTCTTTCTTAGATTTATCTCTGTCAATAAAACTTTACTTATGAATTGACTAATCCACCCTGACTCAAAAGATGAATGGAACATGATTTGTATGATGTCATACACTTTAAAACAAGAAACAACTCAATTTAGATACATTTAACAAATTTACCTAAGAAATTTTTCTTCTAAAAACGTTGTACGATACTTTATGTGTATAGAAAAATCACACTTTTAATCAGTCAATCATTCTTGCATTAGAATCCAGTCTATCTCCTTAATTCAAATGTTAAGCAATTTGTAAATTTAATCCTTCGACTAACTAAGAATAAATTGGAAGTTATAAATACACTCATAAAACTTTATATACATGCAAATGAAACTTAATGTTCTACTTAGTTGAGGGACTAAATTTAGAAATTATAATGAATTCAATTTATTGTAAACAAAAGTTTTACAAACAAAATTATTGAAAGAGAAAACTGCAATTTTAATATCTTAATTATATACAACTAATTATTTTAGTTTGTTTTCCCTTCAAAAAAAAAAATATATTTTAGTTCATGTCTTCAATTTAAAGTTGCAAAATACACTCTTAAATTTACAAAAAAAGTTATAATTTTAGTCCTAGAAGTAAATTGTTTGTCAACTTCCATTAGTGTTTGAATTATTTATGTTTTTTTTTTTAAAAAAGTTGATTGGGGAGGTTTAAAATAATTTCTCTCCAAAAGGTTAAATCTCCAGTATTAAGAGTTCCACACACCTGGCCCGACAGAGCATTTGGGAGGATGTAAACAACGGTGATTCAATGACTCAAAAAACAGGGTCAAATGCCCATACGCACAGGGGATCTACCCGCTTTGGGTATAATCCCCACACTGCCACTATCGAAGTTCTAACATTGGTCTCTTCTCCCATATACTGTTTACTGAACCAGTAAACTAAGCTCGTGCGGACATATTTAAATAATTTCATATGCGTCTTCTTTATTTCATTTCGTTGCAACCCTATTGTCATTTACTCATTTATATATATGAGAGAAGCACTAAACCACCCAATTTGAGCATATAATTAAAGAAACCTAAACCACCCAATTTGAGTATATAATTAAAGAAACCTAATACATAACCACATTGCTGAAATTATATTAAGAGTTCTTAATGTAAGCAAATAAATTCACACTTAATACATATATTCCGTATTCATATAGGACACACAATTTACTTTATTGTGTGGTAAGTAATCTTGAGTGAATTCCATTTTGGTCCTACTGTTATAGGGATTTTTTCAATTTTAGTCCACCATAATTATTTTTGCCATATTGCGTCTACTATTATTAAAAGTGTTCTAATTTTAGTCCATTTTTAGATTTTTCGTGGACTAAAATTGGAACACTTTTAATAATAGTGGACACAATGTGGCAAAAATAATTATGGTGGACTAAAATTGGAATGACCCCTATAACACTAGGATCAAAAATGAAATTCACTCGTAATAATATGTTATTTTCACCTTGTGTGTTCTAAAACATATCTACGTAAGTTTGAGTGTGTGACTAAAATGTGAGCGTAAAAATTGAGAGCCTATATAGTATTTTCTTTGAGTAAATGCCAACTGGGTCCTTCGAATTTAGTGGCACAGCCACATTTATTACTAAACATTCCATTTAACCACATGTGGTCCTTCAATTTTCAAGTTAATCACCTATGGTCATTCAACTTTCAAATTTTAAGCAGTTGTGGCCCTTTCGTTAATTTAAGTAAGACAAAGTTTAGGATCATGACTAGTTAAAATTTGACAGTTGAAAGATCATGAGTAGTTAACTTGAAAATTGAAGGACTACATGTGATTTAATTGAAAGTTTATGATTAAATATGACGATATCGCTATACTATACTTGTAGGATCTTATATCACATTAATTTTATTTTCCTTGATCCTATTAAAGCACAACTTTAATTTTATGTTACATTGTTACAATGCAAATTAATGTCCACAATGCCAAGGAACTCTACTTCAACGGTAAGGAATTAAGGATGGATTAGTTCTAATATCAATGCAAGGAATTAATTCCTATATACGAAGATGCCATGGAATTTCACAAATCCAAGTAAAATGTATTGCGAATTATTAACTCTCGGTATTTGAGTCTACTTATGATTCTTAATCTTAGTCTCCCTAAGTCTCCTAATCCTAGTCTCCCTAAGTCTCTTCTTGTATATATACATAGGTCTTATACTCTTGTCATTCAATACTGTTAATACAATTTATTATAGTTCTCATCTGGTATCAGCTAGTTATGGTTTCTATCCAATGGCCGACGGATCTGTCAATTCCTCTGAACGGACCGTTTCTGATGCCCTCTCTCATCGGTTACTTCAACCGTAACCACCCTCTCCACGGCTCATCACTTCATCAGCGTTAAATTGACTCATCGGAACTTCTTATTTTGGAGGGCTCAAGTTGTTCCTTTTCTCAACAGACATGATCTAATGGGTTTCATCGACGGAACCAATCTTTGCCCGCCGGCCATGATCTCGTCCGGCGAAGAGGAAGCGCTGCCTCTGCCGAATCCTGCTTATCATCCATGGGTTCGTCAGGATCAGGCACTTCTCTCTATGCTCATGTCATCGTTGTCTGATGAAGTTATGTCCTTGGCTATCGGGTATCACACCAGCCGTGCAGTGTGGACTGCCGTTACCTTCGCACTTGCCTTTTCGTCTCGGTCTCGCTCGTTGAACCTTCTCGGGCAACTTCAGACGTTGCAACAAGGTGATGCTTCTGTCACTGATTATCGGTCTGGCACAGGTTCTCATTGAGGATCTAACTCTCGCCGGCCGTCACCTTCCGCTTGAAGAACAAAACCTTTACGTATTTTGGGGTTCGCAGCCTGAATTTCGGGGTCTTGTATCTTCTCTCAATGTCCGAGGAACACCGGTGACCCTTCATGAACTCTCGGACCTCCTCAGTGCCTAGGAGTTCGTCGTCGGCAGTGGCGGACCGTCGCCGACAGCTTTTTTCGTCCAGAAATTCGGGCAGTCTCGTGGCGGTAGTGGCGGTCGACGGCCGTCACGGGAATGGCGGTGGTCATGGTCGTGGTGGTAGGAATGGCAATCACCAACTGAAGTGTCAACTTTGTGGAAACTTCAGGCACACGGCACATACGTGTTACAAACGGTATGAAAAGGATCCACAAGCTAATATGGTTTATCAGGGAGCTCCTTCAGATTCTTCACCAGACTCTCATACTTGGTTCCCAGACAGGGTGGAACGAATCATGCGACTCCGGATATAGCGACACTCTCTATCTCGGACGAATATAATGGTAATATCACACTCCGTGTCGGTGATGGTACATGACATCAACACCAAGGAGATTCTTCTTCGGGGCAATAGTTTTGGTGGGTTATACCCACTACCAGTTCCTAGTTCGTCACCTTCCGCGTTTCTTTCAGCTTGTGCGTCTCCCAATCCTAGCTAGGGCCGTGGCTAGTTGTTGAAATTCCAGCCCCATGTCTTGGTTGTTCTGTTCCTGCATATTTTCGCCCAAGCCATCAAGGGTGGAAAAACGCGATTGATCCCCAAGACCTTCGAACGCCGGGGCATTATTGGTTGCTACTTGGCTTCCTGCTCCCGCCCCACGAACACCTGGTTGAACGTTGTTCTTGGTTCGACCTCTTCTTTCTTTCCGAGTAACGAGCATCCAAGCCCTAAACCTCTCCTGCGACCTTTGCTTCTCCACCGGTGAGATTGCTGCCGCAGAGGTTTCTTCGTTCTGCCCATAAGTGGCCACTCCTTCAACTCCTTCCTTGCCACATTGCTCTTGATGGTGGCCATATATGCCACACTTGAAGCAAATCAGATTTATCCCTTCATACTCAATGGGCCAATCCATGAAATGCAGGACAAATTTAGACAATAATGGTTTAGTGATATCAATTTCAACACAGACTCTCGCGAACTTTCCTATGGATGCCAAACTGGTCGTTGTATCGATCTTTACCGGCCGACCTATTGTTTTCCCTATCTTCTTGAGGAATTCCTCGTCGAAATACTCTATTGGTAGCTCCAGAAACCGAACCCATACTAGCAGCTTCTTGGTCTTGTTCTTGGAAGGGATGAAATTGGGCTCCCATTCTTTAACCACCAGATAGTGTCCTAAGATCATCCAAGGTCCCCCAAACTTGGCCAATTCGTAGCCCGCTAGCGACTCAAACTTCGCTATGTAGTAATCGTGGGCTAGGGCGATTAATTCGAAGGTAGACTCCGACTTCCACATGCGCTGAAGCCTTTGCAGGAGATATGAATAGCCGGCTGTCCTTCTAAGTACCCTAATAATGAGGGATCGACGTCATGGGCGTCTCAACCTTTCCTTATCCTCTTTAGTAACCTGTATCACCGGAAATATAGACGATGTTCTTTCTTCCTCCATTGCGTCATCATCAGAGACCACTTCTTTGTCCGGAAGACCTCCTACTTCTCTGCGTGTCCAAGCTTGATTTGGGGTCGCGTATGGGGTTCTCCATTGTTGCAAATCTGGGGTGGAGGCCCTTGCTGCAACTGGCGTTTCTTGAGAATTCTCCCCTGCATGCATCGGCATGGATGATTCGATTGCTTCGCGACCTCGTTTCGCTTTCTTGGTGCTTCTTTCCAACAAATCCTGGTCCTCTGGAGACCGATGGGTCGCCGTCGGTGAGGACACGACCGAGAGTGATTTCGCTTCCGTCTCCATAAGTTGAGCAGGTCATTGAAATCTTTGACATTATTACTCAAAGATTCGACCCCGTCTCACGGGTCTGACAAAAGGTTTTGCCTATATTTTAACCAAATTAGCTCAATCTAGTTTAAATAATAACCAAGCAAATGGCAAGCCAACTCGCCATTGACTCCACTAGGAGGGGGAGAGAGAAAACTGGGCTTAAAATGAAATTCAGAAAATGTCTTTGTGGTAAAAATCTCATAACACAATTTATGCAAAAATAAATCATTTTTTCTTTGACCATAATAAGTATTTTTTGTCTACTCCATTTTTTCTTGACACCCTAACACGAAAAATTCAAAAAATGACTTTTGCTAGGGAAGACACATTTTGCATAAAACCGAAGTATCTTTCACTCAAAATGGGTCTATCTATGGGGTAAAAATATGGATATAAGCACACTTATCACAAATCTTAATATTTATCTCTTTATGTGCCAATATGTGAATAGTTTTGTTTGTATTTGATTAGCAAGTATGGAGTAGATCTCATTTTTTAACTAGTGATAGGATCAATGAGGAGACAAGCATTAAGGGCAACAACAATAGTGGTTTCCGAAGTTGTAATTCTGATGTGGGGTAGAGAGTGAGATGATAGAGTGTGTTTTGAGTTCTGGTTTGATAAGCGATTTGCGTATGGTGCTGCTTACACTATTGTTAGGGAAGCCGTTTCTATGAGAGGTTGCGTGGAGTGATTTGATAATTCTTCTCCTTTTCTTGTGGATTGTCTTTCTACCGATTTAATGAATTAATTTTTTCTCTTCAAAAAAAGAAACTTTATATAAGTTAGGTAAGTGACTTAATATACATTACATTTTATTTTAAAAATATTATTAAAAAGATTAAGAAGAAAAAAACAACTTTAATTATTCCGGATTTATAAAATTAATTTCCGTTTCATTAACTAATAATTAATAATCATTTACACTCCAAAAATTCATCGTTCAGACAGCCCTGAACTTCCATTTTTCATTGCTCCCTTAAAAATCTCTCTCTCTCTGATTGGAATTCTGCAACTTCTCTCATTCTCTTTCACTCTCACAAATTAGGGTTTCCATTTGAGCTTTATTCTTTTCCGTACAGAGCTCAAATCCGAAGCGAGCTTGCTGCTTTCTCGCGATGCGACAAGGAAGAAGCTGAGGTCAGTTTCTGCTAACATTTCCGTACTGTGTGAAATTAAAAAAAATTGAAATCTGTGCTTTAGCTGTTAACTGTATTTTGCTTGCTAGATCTGTGGTAAAGGAACTGTTTATTTGATGTACTGAGATTGAGGTTATTTTCTTTGGTGAAGAGTAACAGATCAGCAGGATCGGCTAGTAATTGTTTTCTCCGGGATACCGGGTAGTCGACCTAGCAAAATGGAGGAAGAAATTATATATGTTTAGTTATGGGTTTTATAAAATTCCAGGGAAGGTGTATCTTTCTTCACTGCATCAAGTTCTGCTTAACTTTGAGTTATTGGAATTTGTTTGGTTTCTGGTAGTGAGAGATGATTAGATGATGGTTGTAGTTGTTGAAATGGTAAAGGCAGGAATGGGGCTGAAATTGATCGGTGTCTGTTTTGGGGGGTGGGGTGGTGGGTTTATATTTGATATCCGTATTGAGAGATCCAATTCAGTAGTGGCAGTTGACAATTGATATTACAGAGCAAGTTTCTTTAAGTAATGATATTGGATTATTTTGAATCCCAGAGGGAGATGGGATTTGAAGTTTGAACCCAAGACAAATACCTTTGAAACTGGCTTGGTTACCCACATAACTGAGCGCCAAATGCCGTTATGGCTATGAGTTGGCTTCCAAAGGGTCACCTTTTGGTTGCCACATTATCTGTATTCCTTTTTTAAGGCCAAACATTAGGAATGTGAAGGGAGGTTTGATCTTTACATTAATATGGCCAAATCTATTACCTTAGTTACCTGGAAATTGGTTAATTCCTGATATTTTCCTTAATCAACTGAAAATATAGGTGGGCTGTTACAGTTGTTTAAAATGTATGATGCTCTGGTTCTATAATTCCTGATATGCTCTGGTTCTCAAGACCTTTGCTGTAAATCCATCACATACTCTACACAATGCCAGAGATCCCATTTTTTAACTCTTAGTTGATAAACAAGCTAAGGTGATATTCTATGCAAATATTTTGTTTGGCAATTGATTGTAACATTTTTGGACTTGTTTGTTTGTTTTGGTTTTTTCAGATTTCATTAATATTTTTTGTGTGGCATTTATGTTTGTATGTTGAGTGAATATGTTTTAACAATTGTTTGATTTTTTATTTTTATATCCCCAGAAAATATGCCTTCATGGTGGCCAAAGTCATTAAAGGATGCAAAGAAGAAAGAAAATAAAGAAAGTTTCATTGGTACATTGCATAGAAAATTAAAAAACCCATCTGATAGTAAGTCTGCTATTAAGCCTGGGGGATCTCGAAGGCATGGTAATGACTCAGTTTCAGAGAAGGGTTCTCTATCCCGAGCTGAATCAAGATCATCATCACCTTCCAAACATGTATCAAGGTGTCAAAGCTTTGGAGAAAGGCCTTTGGCCCAACCACTCCCACTTCCAGACCTGCACTCAGCAAGGGTAGTCCGAACAGACTCTGGAATCATTTCAACAAAGCTAAGAGAAGGGAAGGGTTCTAAGCCATACCTCTATTTGCCTATACCTAGGCCTCGATGTATCATGCCCAGGTTGGATCCCACAGATGTTGATGGAGAATTAGTAGTAGCATCAATTTCAAGTGAATGCTCTGTAGAGAGTGATGATCTGACTGACTCACGTCAACGTAGTCCTCTGGCATCTGATTATGAAATTGGAGGCAAAAATGCGTTGCGCAGCCCATCCAGGTGAGCAAATGCAGAAAACCGTTGGAAGGAACTATTGTGTTCTTTCTTTCTTCTCCTTCTTTTAAAGGTTTTTCCTTTTGTGTGTGTTTGGGAGAGGATGGGGGTAGGGATGTGGAATGGGGATGAAACTAAAACAATTATTTTCTGTTCATTCATTTGTTTTCAATCTGGCTGTGAATCAATCATTTACTGTGATTGGTGTTCTGCTATGGAGTACTATCTTACTTTCATCTTTTATTTCTGCCTGTTTGCCCAAGTGGCCAAAAATTCCTCTTTGATTGACATGATACTTATTTTTCCTGCAATAAAGTGTGATTCCTAAGGACCAGTCTCCTGTTGGACAAATAAGCAGAAGAGAGGCAACAGGATTGATTAATCTTTCCTCCAGCAGATGTATCAACTCTTCATCTCCTAAAAGGGGACCTCTAAATAGCCTTGTGCCCAATCTACAGGTCCCTTGTCATGGTGCTTTTCGCAGTGCTCCAGATAGCTCAGTGTCAAGTCCCTCTAGAAGTCCAATGAGTGGTATTGGAAATGAGCAAGTTCCTGGTTCAATGTTATGGGCAGGAAGACCTTCTCCTGATATTCCTCTTCTTGGATCAGGCCAATGTTCAAGCCCTGGCTCAGGTCAAAATTCTGGGCATAATTCAATGGGAGGTGATATGCTAGGACAATTATTTTTGCAACCTAGTAGAGGAAGCCCTGAGTATTCTCCAAACCCTAGTCCCAGAATGAGAAGTCCTGGACCTAGCTCCAGAGTTCAAAGTGGTGCAGTCACACCAATCCATCCCAGGGCTGGAGGTGGAGACTCTGAATCCCAGACTTGCTGGCCTGATGATGGGAAACAACAAAGTCATCCCTTGCCCCTTCCTCCTGTTAGAATGTCAAATTCATTACCATTTTCCCATTCAAATTCAACTGCTGCATCTCCCTCAGTGGCCAGAAGTCCAGGGAAAGCAGAGAATCTGACAAGTCCTGGCTCACGCTGGAAAAAGGGAAAGTTACTTGGTAGAGGCACGTTTGGACATGTATATGTTGGTTTTAACAGGTATATGTGACCTACAATCTGTGCTTGCTTTTTGCTCTTCATTGTTTCTTAAGATGGACATACCTATTCATCTGTTAGGGGAATTCGGTATTCTAACTCACATAGAGAGCTTGTATATATGTAAATAGATTTTGTTTAATGTCTGTCCACAATTAAGGTACTTGATCAAATAGGAGTTGTCCTTTATATAACATGGATATAAGAGGTGAATGCTTAGAATTTCAGATTCCATTTACTAAACATTTATAATTCCAGCCTCTTATATTTTCCCCTTCGCTTGACTCCGTGTGTTGGTTCAGTGATAGTGGTGAAATGTGTGCAATGAAGGAAGTTACGTTATTTTCTGATGATGCAAAATCGAAGGAAAGTGCTAAGCAGTTAGCCCAAGTAAGTTTATCATCCAACAATTTATGCAGTTGGATTCTAATGTGTAACAAGTTCTTACCACTGATAATTCTTACAGGAGATTGCATTATTGAGCAGGTTAAGGCATCCAAACATTGTTCAATATTATGGGTCTGAAATGGTTAGTGTTGTACCTGCAAATTTCATAATTAATCCCTTCTGAGTCGTATGTAAATTCAAAGAGTTCTAGTTATGGAGATGAAATACAGAATGCCATTATATCACAGAGTTGTTGAAATAATCTAAGACAGTGGTTCTATTACAGAGTATTTTTATACAGGTTTAAACATGCTAGTTGTATTGATGATGATACTTGTGGAAATGATGCTTTGTTTGTTCATTTACTGAAAAGTTTTCATGGATCAGGGTGGTGATATGTTGTATATATACTTGGAATATGTATCTGGTGGTTCTATCTATAAGCTTTTACAAGAATATGGGGCATTTGGAGAAACAGCTATCCGTAGTTACACTCAACAAATACTATCTGGGCTTGCGTATTTACATGCTAAACAGACTGTGCACAGGTAGTCCTTATATGTGCGGTTGGATCAATCTACTGAAATATCACTTTCTTAGAAGCATTTGAACAAACACTGATTAGTGCTCATACCCATTTAAAAATGTTTGGCAGGGATATCAAAGGAGCAAATATTCTTGTGGATCCAAATGGACGCATTAAGTTGGCAGACTTTGGCATGGCAAAGCATGTAAGTAAAGTAGTAGATGAATACACTCTGCTAGCTTAGATGATTTAATAAATTAGAATACTTCAATTTATGGGCTTGAATCAGGAATATCAATTAGGTAAAGCTGGTCTTTGCATTATGCAATTGCCTTTCCTAATTTCAACACTAAATTAAAGTATTAAACCTTAACCTCAAGCTAGTTTTGTTGGTTACATGGACTTATTCTTCGACTCAGTTCTATATAAAAATTAAGTCGATGTTAACCCCCTTCCACTAGCTTCTCTGTTTTTTCACATGTACCCATGTTTTGGTCCACATTTCTCTTGCTATATCCTAATAGCCTGATACTACCATGCTTCCTCTTAATTTGACCTACTTTGAACATGTGCAAATGTTATGGTCTAAGTCATGGGCAGAATAAGCAATAGGAAGAAGTGGAAGAAGTGTTTTGCCACATTTCAAGGTTGGGTTTGCTTGAGATCCCAAAACTCCCTTAGTCCCCTTTTGGATTCTGCTCCCCATTAATCCAATTATTTCACCCTTTTTATAATAGGGAAAATACAAGACTCCAATAACTAATAATCACTTTAAGACTAGATAACAAATTAAGACAAAGTCTTCTAATCGAATCAAATAACTGGAACACCTAAAAGACTACGACAACCAACTATTAAGTAATTCTAATTTAACTAAACCATTTATTAAATAATTGATAAAAATATTGTTGCGTTCCTGCATCATATCCATGTCCCCAGTCCGCATCAGTACACCATCTCTTAGATTGCCTTCAGTTGGTTGACTTCTACCTTTACCGACTTTAATTTATGATTTATTTCTTTAAGAAGAATAGAACCAAGGTAACAAAAGTGTGTGCATTCTGGCATTGTGAGTTAACATTTGTTGCATGAAAACTGATATGTGCCTTCAGCCTTGCTAAGAATCTGTCATATCTTTTGGTCATGAATACTGATTGCTAGTTTCATATCGCAAATTTGATTGTAAAACCTTTTGTTTTTTCCCCTAAATTCTGAATGTGCAGATTACAGGGCAGTCCTGTCCATTATCATTCAAGGGTAGTCCTTATTGGATGGCACCAGAGGTCAGGAACTTGAGTATATTGCTGTTAAAAATTTGTTTGTGCTTTCAATCATTGATGCTGAAAGTTTTCATTGTCATTGCTCAGGTCATTAAGAATTCAAACGGACGCAACCTTGCTGTTGATATATGGAGTCTTGGATGTACAGTCTTAGAAATGGCTACATCAAAACCGCCTTGGAGCCAGTATGAAGGGGTTAGTAATTCTGCATTTGAAGTGGTCAATATTAAATGTTTCTTCGCTTGTCTTCTATAGCAAAGTTTTATATCAAAGATTGACTATACTTTGAGGTATGTGTTAAAGCTACATGTTTGATATTTTGGATTTCCTTAACCTGTGTTATGTTCTGGCTTAAAGGTTGCTGCCATGTTCAAGATTGGGAATAGTAAAGAACTACCTATTATTCCGGAGCACCTGTCTGATGAGGGGAAGGATTTTATCAGGCAATGTTTGCAGCGTGAACCACGGTCTCGTCCTACTGCTGCTCAGCTATTGGATCATCCTTTTGTAAAAAATGCTGTGCCTCCAGAAAAACCTGTTATTTCTTCAACGCAATCTGATCCAACTGGTGCTGGCATGGATGGCATGAAATCTCTGGTAATGTATCTTAATAATTTTCCTCTTGTTCTCCATTTCTGAAATTGTAAACATTAAATGCCTTTTATGACCTGTATTGTGGAATCTCATTCATACCAAATGATTTGGTATGCCTGCTAATCTATGTGTCCTTTGCTTACTTTGAATTTTCAATGGTTGTCATTCATGAATTATATCTCAGGGCATTGGGCATGCGAGGAATACACCTTGCTTTGAACCAGAAAGACTCGCAATCCATTCATCCAGATTTTCAAAGTCTAGTATCTATGGCAGGTACCTTTCATGTTTTCATACACGTGTGCTGGTGGCAAGGAACTTTAGAACTTTGTATAGCAGTGACCTTAGCTTGTTATCTGACTCTCTTATTTTGTTGTCCAGCGAAATCCATGTTCCAAGGAACATATCATGCCCTGTCTCTCCGATTGGGAGCCCTCTTTTACATCCAAGGTCACCTCAACACCTAAATGGAAGGATGTCCCCATCACCAATATCAAGTCCTCTTGCTGCATCAGGCTCATCCACACCACTCTCCGGAGGGAATGGTGCAATCCCATTTCATCACTTCAATCAATCAATTTACTTACAAGAGGGCATTGCCAATCTCTCACAGGGTCTGTATATTAATGCCCCCTCCTATTGGGAACCCGATGCTTCCCGGGGGATGCAATCCGGAGCTCATGCTTTGTGGGATGTGCAACCCACTGAAAACGATGCTCTTGCAAAGCAGTTTGGAAGGCCCACCAGCGGAGAGTTTAACAATGGTCAGTCAGTCTTGGCCAATCGAGTCGCTCAGCAACTCCTAAGGGATCATGTCAAGTTGATCCCCCCACTAGATCTAAATCCTTGCCATCCCTTGGCTGGCCGAACCGGTGGAACATGACGCCAGTTTTATTCAAACACAGCATTAGGGAAACATGCCAATCTCACTGTTGAAGGGGTAAACTTCACAAGTTAATGATAGTGAGTGAAGGAAGCTGGTTTTGTGTTAAGGGGGTCAATCAATGGGAGTACTGTTCAATAACTGACCTGTTTGAGGATTTCTTTTTCTTTTCTTATCACTTTCATTGGGTAATGGTATACCTTACGAGATAGCCGGCTGCAATGAAAATGAACTGCCATTGATGTGCCACCCTTTCAAAGACGAGCTTGCTTCCTGCCACCTTCTCTGATTGAGCATATCTGGATTCTGCACATGAGCAGCTAGCTTGTATAAAGCTAAAGCTGGTGTAAAAGATTGAATTTGATACTTAACTGACCCAAGGCAGGCATTTATGAAGGATTCACTTGTTTGGTAAGGCAGCTAGCTTCAAGGATTCAATGTATAGCTGATTCATCAGTGACAGTTGTTGCATCAAACTTGTATATTTATGATGGGGCAAAGGTAGAGAAGAGTTAGCCTGAGTTTTGAGTAGTAGGTGTAGGACTTTTGTTTTGCTCTCATCCATCTTTTTTTTTTTTTTTTTTTTTTTTTTTTTTTTTTTTTTTTGGCTCCATGGGGATATATTCAGTATTCAGTTGAGGGGCTGTACAGAAAATATTCAGGATTATGCTGATCAAGCAATCAAGATTATAGTTATTGTCTATTGACTTTTTAAAAAAAATTTATTTTTGGGTGATGAGGACAATTCATAGCCACTATTTGATAGTGTGCAATGGGTAATTCTCAGGCAAAAGACCACAACGAGATAAATTAGCTTAAGTTATTCATAATTGACATTGTTTGCTTAATTGACATTTCAAAGTGTGCTATTTTGTTTTGTTTTTGGTTGTAAAGAACATTGTTGAATGAAATTTTGCATGAAAGTGAAGTAAATCAGTGATGGTAGCTATTAGGATCAAACGTTTATCACTATACCAAAAATTATAGTTAGTAACAAATGCACAACTTTATTTTTTTATGTAACCACAATTCAACAGACACATGCTAGACTTGACCGCCCTTCAAAGGGCTCCGCTCAACAGTAGCGTAGGGGGGTGTAGGTGGCAATCCCCCCTCCTTGACCACTAATCAAATCGCCATTAGCTAAGAACTTGAAAGGTTACAAAACATGTTTAATGCTATTTGGCATTTGTCACAAACTAAATAATAACACATGCCCATCCATGCAGAACAATAAAATAAAATTTCACTTCACCAAATCCATGCTGAAATCCCAGAGTCTCTTGGCCAAATCTTTATCCATAGCCTGGGGGGTCGGCGTGGCAATATTATTGTCACTGAAATATTCCCCACTTACCCCTTTGACTTGTGGGTGCAATGCTACATAGCAGGTTGTAGATGCTCCCTTCAAGACAACACGAAAAAAAAAAACCCAGACATTTATTGTTGCAATTTCTACATTTGTTTGATCTGCCTATACTAGATGTATCCAAACACAAATGCGTGGTTTAGAATGAAAAAGAACTTACCTGTTGAACATTCTTTAGCACAAATTTGCCTACCGTACTAACAAAACCTGCATCATGTGGAAGGAGACACATTAGATGAATGTCTTTTTTGAACTTTGCACTATCTTCTGTGGTCGGGATGAGGGGGGCTCTATAGACCGCAGTACCGCACAAGTATTCAAATGAAACTAGTGAAAGGCACTATAGATCGTAGCGAAAATGCAACTTTATTTCCTTATATACCGCCACATTTTCGAGAAGCAGGTGCTGGACTTGGCCCTTCACCTGTCTCCGCCCAACAATCCCCTAGCCACCAATTTGCTGGACTTGGCCCTTCACCGGCCTCTGCCCAACAAGTAGAAATATAAAAGCACAAGATTGAACTTTTGAACTACCTTCAACAATGCCCATATGACGGAAAAGATTGGTTGTGATTGTACCAGGATGAAGTGCATTTACAGTTATGTTTGCCCCATCTTGCTGTTGAAAGAAACAAAAAATATATATATTTATAAAATTCAGAGTCCAGCCAAGTTGGCTAAGCTAAAGTCAAAATCACAAGTTGACAGTAATTTCTAAAATTCAGAAATTTCAAATACTAAGGTTAAGAAGGAAAAAACAAAAACGCAAGCCAAAAGGGAAGATTCAGTGCTTCATTTCCACTCGCTATATCCCCGGAGTAGTTTATGCAATCTAATCAGAGATTGCTAATTAAATATTGGAATGGAATGGGATTATATAATAGTTTCTTTATGGTTAATATTCAGAATTTGATAGTTTCTGCAATGTTAGATGCACATGAAAGCTGAGGTTCGGTTTAGATGCAACAGGATACTCTAAATGTTTCTTAGACGGTTAAAAAAAAAAACCTTTTGAGATTTTGAATCTTAATACCTTTAAGCGTTTTGTTAGCTCCTTTGCATGCAGTATGTTAGCAAGCTTTGATTGACCATAAGCCCCTAAGCTGCTGTAACTGTATATAGGGATCACAAATATATAAAGAAAATAAATTTCTCGACCTCTCCAAGTAATACAATATTGCAACATAAAGCAACAAAGTCAGAATTGAAGCATGTGTTCCATCTCAACAAAAAGCCTAAGCTAATAGTCGTGTGCGGGCTAGTTACAGGTTCCAAGCAACACGTGGACCATATTCCTTTGATATGAGGTTGACTCTGATACCAAATTAAAGCATGTGCTCCATCTCAACTAAAAGCTTAAGTTTTTTTTTGAGAACTTAAGTTGATAGTTGGATTGCACATTTATGTTTATATATTATATATATGCTCAACAGTCAGCACTCAACAATGTTATAAGCAAATCAAAATGCAAGCAACGGTCTATTACTACTACTTCCAAAAACGCTTGATCTAAACGGAACAAAAAATGAATTTTAAGTTACCTTTCACTATCATTAATCTTATCAAAGCGAATTCCCTCTTTATAAGCAAATCGATGAGCTTCTGATGATACATTCACAATCCTTCCCTCTTTTTTCGATTTACGGGCTGTTTCTTTCATAGTGTCTAACAAGAGATTTGTCAAAAGAAAATGACCTGCAAAATGAAGAGAAAATTGATCACAGCGACTGTTATGCAGGCCCCAATGTTCATCCTTCATCTATGTTCATACCTAAATGATTTGTGGCAAACTGCAGTTCTATCTTGTCTTTAGTGAGCATGTATGGAGTAGCCATCACTCCTGCATTATTTCTTACAACGAATAGGATAAAGTTAGTCCAAAATTCTAAACAACGTTTCGGAAAACACATTATTGAATCAACATAATTGGTAAACAACATAGTTCTCCCATCATCTTTACTTACATTAAAAGGTTCAATGAACGACCCGATGATTTAAATTCGGACGCAAATTTCTTGACGGATGCAAGTGAGCTGAGATCTAACTCCAGAGTATCGATTTTGGCTGGAGGGACTTCCTTAACAATAGCCTCTTTCGCATCTTTCCCAGCACCCATATTCCTAACAGCCATCACAACGTGCACCCCACGCAGTGCAAGAACACGGGCGGTTTCATATCCAATCCCACTTGATGCTCCTGCATTTGTATTGACTATGAGCAAACTCATCCTAGAACCATTCTTCGCAAAGTTTAACCCCAACATTTCAAATTTCAAAAGCAGCTCCTATGGTAAATCTTATTCAATCAGAGTACTAATTTCATACATCAAAAACTAGAGAGAGAGAGAGAGAGAGAGAGAGAGAGAGAGGTGACCAGTAACAATAGCAGTGAGAGCAGAGGCGTCGATCCCTGCGGTGACCTCCTCAGCAGTGGAAGCGTAGGAGAATCCAGATGGGCCGTTTCTTCTGAAGAACCACATTCTTATCTTATTATGTAAAATGTAATGCTAGAGCTTGTTCATATGTAAATTAGAATGTGTTTTGTATCCTAAATCCCAATCCTATCAAAAAGCTGATGTGATGGAACGTGTTTACTTCTTGTTCATATATTCCTTCACTCTATTTTCACACGCAACTCTATACATCAATTTCAATTAATTTTGTTCAATCCCATTTCTTTAAACAAAAATAGATACTGAGGATTATTTAGCGAAAATGTTTAAATACACCTTTAAACTAAGTGAAAATGTAATTAAGTCATGAACTTTTAAAAATGTGCTTGAACTAGTCAAAATTAGCAAAACAAATCGTATTTACCGATAAAGTATTCGATGCTGACCACTATTAACAACCGTTGAACATTGAAATTAAAAAAAAAAAAAACAAAATTCATCAGCGACAGAGAAGGTGACTGGCACCTTCTCCAACTGGACCCCGGTCGGTACCGTGGGAGGGTACTATGATATCACTACACTAAAAGATAAACTTTGTAAGCTGAATGGTTGTGCCATTCAAAATTTTTATCAAATTAAATTTTGCTATACTGAAAAATTTAAACTTAAAGTACTTTTTACCTGTTTTACTGAGGAACTTCAAACTTTTACCGTGTGACCAACTAAGCTACTTATGCGAACAGATAGGATAGAGACAATGCGCATTCGGGGATTTTTAAACCACGGTCAGTACCGTGGGAGGCAACTACGATACCACTACACTAAATGCGCCTCTTTTTTTGAAAGATAAACTTTGTAAGCTGAATGGTTGTGCCATTCAAAATTTTTATCAAATTAAATTTGCTATCCTGAAAAACTTAAACTTAAAATTAAAGTACTTTTTAAGGAACTTCAAACTTGATATCAAACAATCGAAATATTTTTTATCAAAAAAAATTTAAATTTAATTTAATCTAACCAAACTTACCACGTTGATGATAACTTACAAATCTCTTCCTAAGCTACTCATGCAAACAGATAAGATAGAGATAATGCACATTTGGGGAATTAAACCCCGATCAGTATCGTGGGAGTGTACTATGATACCACTACACTAAATGCGCTTCATTTCTTGAAAGATAAACTTTGTAAGCTGAGTGGTTGTGTTATTCAAAATTTTTATCAAATTAAATTTGCTAAACTGAAAAACTTAAACTTAAGGTTAAAGTACTTCATACTGTTTTACTGTGGAACTTCAAACTTCATATCAAACAACCGAAATATTTTTTTTATCAAAAAAAATTAAATTTGAGTTAATCAAACAAAACTTACCACGTTGATGATAACTTACAAATCTCCTCTCTTTCTATTAGGAAATCAAATTTTTTTTTAAAATATATCTTGAAAAGATATCTCTTTATTGAGGAAATCAATCTTACCATGTGACCAACTTAAAGTACTTTTTAAGGAACTTTAAACTTGATATCAAACAATCGTAATATTTTTTTGTGAAAAAAATTTTAATATAATTTTTTATCAAAAAAATTTAAATTTGAGTTAATCTAACCAAACTTACCACGTTGATAATAACTTACAAATCTCTTCCTAACCTACTGATGCGAACAGATAAGATAAAGACAATGCGCATTCGGGGAATTAAATCCCGGTCAGTACCGTGGGAGGGGTACTATGATACCACTACACTAAATGCGCTTCTTTTCTTGAAAGATAAACTTTGTAAGCTGAATGGTTGTGCCATTCCCAATTTTTATCAAATTAAATTTGCTATACTGAAAAACTTAAACTTAAGGTTAAAGTACTTTTTAAGGAACTTCAAACTTGATATCAAACAATCAAAATATTTTTTTATCAAAAAATTTAAATATATTTTTTTTATCAAAAAAAATTTAAATTTGAGTTAATCTAACCACGTCGATGATGATGAGGATATGATATTTCTGAATAATCAACAATGAGTTTGTACAAGAGTATATCTAGTAGTGAATAGTGAACCTATTACAAGACGAATACTAATAATAATAGATAATGAATACTAATGATAATAGAGTCCTAATACTCCCCCTCAAGCATAAGGTGGACTAGCAACAACATTGAGCTTGCCACACAGAGTAGAGAAACGCGGACTAGGGAGAGCTTTAGTGAACACATCAGCCAGCTGATCCTTTGTGGAAATGAAGCTAACCTGCAACTCCTTCTTCGCCACTTTGTCACGAACAAAGTGGTAATCAATTTCCACATGCTTCGTACGAGCATGGAACACCGGGTTGGAACAGAGATAAGTCACACCCAGATTATCACACCAGAGAGTGGGAGGAGCAGCCAACGACATCCCAAGCTCGTGCAACAGAGAAACCAACCAAGTGACCTCCGCAGACACATCAGCCAGTGCCTTGTATTCAGCCTCTGTAGACGAACGAGCAACCGTACGTTGCTTCTGACAAGACCAGGAAATCAGATTGCCACCAAGAAAAACCGCAAAACCACTAGTAGACTTCCTGTCAGCTGGATCACCAGCCCAGTCCGAATCCGAAAAGGCATGAACCGCAACAGAGGAAGATGGACGAATAAAAAGACCAAAGTGCAGAGTTCCTTTAACGTACCGTAGAACACGCTTGAGCATAACGCAATGCTCAGTAGTCGGAGAGTGCATATGCTGACAGACCCGATTCACGGTAAAAGAGAGATCCGGGCGAGTGACAGTAAGATACTGTAGAGCCCCAGCAAGACTGCGATACTGCGTGGGATCCGCATAGGGAACCACAGAATCAGAAGCGGGTCGGGACACAGGAACCAGAGTAGCCAACGGTTTACAGTCCACCATACCTGCATGGCTCAAAATATCCCGCATGTATCGCTGTTGAGAAAGGAACAAACCACCATCCTGGGAGACCGTCTCAATGCCAAGAAAGAAAGACGGAGCACCCATGTCACGAATCTTAAACTCCGAGTCTAAGTCAGTAAGAAGCCGAGTAACACGCGAAGCATCAGACCCCATAACAAGGATATCATCAACATATACAAGCACATATAAAGAGACAGAGTCACGAGTATAGATGAATAAAGAAACATCAGTCTTGGAAGGTGAAAAACCAACCGACACCAAGAAGGCATGCAACCTATTGAACCACTCTCGAGGAGCCTGCTTAAGACCATAGAGTGACCTCTGTAACAAACAAACATCATCCGACCGTGACTGGTCTTCATAACCGGGCGGCTGTCGCATGTAAACTGTCTCTGCAAGATTACCATTGAGGAAGGCGTTGTGAACATCCAACTGCCAAATGACCCAACCGCGAGAGACGGCTAAGGAGAGAATAAGCCGCACGGTGGTGGGTTTGACGACAGGACTGAAAGTCTCAAAACAATCCTGCCCCGTGACTTGATTGAAACCCTTAGCGACCAGCCGAGCCTTGTGCCGCTCAATCGTGCCACCGGCCTTGCGCTTCGTTTTGAACACCCATTTGCACCCCACAACATTCATGCCAGGTGTACGACTAACCAGACGCCAAGTGTGATTCTGGAGCAAGGCATAAAACTCAAGATCCATGGCCTCACGCCACTCCGGATACCGAACTGCCTGAGAATAACAAGTCGGCTCAGGGACAGACATAAGAGCCACATGCTGCATCGGTCCCCGAGAATGGGTTGCCATAACATGAGACCGAGGCTGAACGGGCTTCGCCGTACGGCGGCCTCGTTTGGGCGCAGGAGGAACACCCGAGACCGCCCCAATCGGAGCCACGGCAGTCACGGTTCGTGAATCGGAACCAGCGACAGCAGCCCCGGAATCCGCATCTAACTCCGGATGGGGATCCGGTCCAGTGGGACAAACACCAGAGCCAACACCAACCCGAACGGTACCAACACCCCACGGCTCAACCGGGCGAGAGCTAGAGACCTGAGAAGGCACAGAAGAAGCAAACGGATATACGGTCTCATCAAACCGCACATGACGGCAAATGAATACCTTGTTAGTAGCAGGATAAAAACAACGATAGCCACGAAACGAAGACGGATAACCAAGAAACACACACGGGGATGACCGATACTGCAGCTTGTTACGATTGTATGGGCGCAACAGAGGATAACAGAGACAGCCAAACACACGCAAGAAGGAATAAGAAGGACTAGAATGATGCAAATGATAATGAGGACTGACATTGTCTCGAACTCGAGTTGGCATTTTATTGATGAGATAGACCGCAGTATCAAAGGCATAATCCCAATATCGCTGTGGAACCGAAGCCTGAGCCAAGAGAGCCAGACGCGTTTCCACAATGTGACGATGCCGACGCTCAACTCTACCATTCTGCTCATGGGTATAGGAACAAGATTGCCTATGATTGATACCCAAAGAGACAAAAGTACGGTGCAACCGTTTATACTCTCCCCCTAAATCAGATTGTATAGAGACAATCTTACGACCATATGAACGCTCAACTAGTGACCGAAACTGATCGAAGATAGCATACACATCAGTTTTTAAACGCATAGGATAAAACCATACATAGCGTGTGTAGTCATCAACAAACAAAACAAAGTAACGAAAACCATTGACAGAAAGAAAAGACACTGGGCCCCAAATATCAGTATAAACAAGCTCTAAAACATGCGACGTAGTAGTATTGACACGAGGCAAGGGAAACCGAGATGATTTCCCAAGCATACAAGCACGACACGACACCGAACTATTACTAAAACTAGAATCAATAGAACACGAATTCAAAATCTGCCGCAAGACACGAGGATGAGGGTGACCCAACCGACCATGCCAAACTTCAGAGGGGACACGAGAGGCCACTAACGCAGCGGGACTTGAACGAGAAACAAGCCAAGAATAGAGACCCCCCGAAGCCTGCCCTCTATATAGAACTTCCCTGGGTGAACGATCCTTCACAAAAAACAATCAGGGTGAAATTCAAAAAAGACATTATTATCACGGGCAAACCGTTGTACAGATAATAAAGACGCAGAAAGCCCAGGAACATAAAGAACGTCAGACAACCGAAACAGTGTTTAGAAGAGGCTACCGAAGAAGAACCAGTACCAACAATAGGTAAACACTTACCGTCACCAACACGAAGATGATCCGGACCGTTATAGGAGACTGCCGAGGACATCAAAGACGGATCCGGGGTGGCATGTTTTGACGCACCAGTGTCGGGAAACCATTGCTGAGTGCTAACCGAAGCCGTATCGTCCACGGGATACGCAACATGCGCTCTCGGCCCCGGAGCTCCATCGTACCGGCGATAGCACGAAGTGGCCGAATGGCCTTCGCCGGAGCAGATCTGACACTGGACATCCCCGACACCACCTCGACCACGGCCACGCCCTTTGCCACGACCACTGTAACACCGCTTTGTCTTTTGGTGTGTTAATTGCATCGTTCCATTTTTGTGTATGAAACTCAAGTTTAAGTTTCTTGGTGAGGTTGAGTTTGAGTTTCAGGAAGGCGAAAAGGTAAATTTGACTAACTTATTAAGAGATGAACAATTACAAAGTATTTATATGCTTGGGACTAAGATGTGTTATTATGATAGGTGTTACTGAAAGTCTCACCTACGAAGGGAGTAATGAGATTCGGAAAGAAGGGGAAGCTAAGTCCTAGATTTATTGGACCATATGAAATTTTGGAAAAGGATTGGGAAGGTAGCTTATCGATTGGCTTTACCAACGGAGTTGGATAAAGTAACGACCTTATTGCTAATGAGTGGTTATTATTAGTATTCTTGGAAACACGACTTATCTAAGCCATTATAAACGTATTTTTCGACTAGGTACACGATGTATTTCACGTATCGCAATTGAAGAAGTACAGGCATGATAACTCTCATGTAATTCGTCCAGAGGTAAGGAATTAAAAGGTTGTCTTGAGACCCTTGAATGGGTGATGGTGATACTAATAACACCATTGTTATGATTATAAGGTTGTGGAGATGGACGAGTCGCTAACTTACGAGGAAAAACCAGTAAAGATTCTTGATACCAAAACAAGGGAAACCCGAGGGAAAGTTGTGAAACTTGTAAAGGTCTTGTGGTCTAACCACTTGACAGAAGAAGCCACTTGGGAAGTAGAGGATGATATGAGAAATCGTTACCCGACGTTGTTCAATCAAGGTACTCGTCTAAGACGCAGAAAGCCCAGGAACATAAAGAACGTCAGACAACCGAAACAGTGTTTAGAAGAGGCTACCGAAGAAGAACCAGTACCAACAATAGGTAAACACTTACCGTCACCAACACGAAGATGATCCGGACCGTTATAGGAGACTGCCGAGGACATCAAAGACGGATCTGGGGTGGCATGTTTTGACGCACCAGTGTCGGGAAACCATTGCTGAGTGCTAACCGAAGCCGTATCGTCCACGGGATACGCAACATGCGGTCTCGGCCCCGGAGCTTCGTACCGGCGATAGCACGAAGTGGCCGAATGGCCCTCGCCGGAGCAGATCTGACACTGGACAGCCCCGGCACCACCTCGACCACGGCCACGCCCTTTGCCACGACCACGGTCGCGGTTGCCACCTCCACGCTGCTGCCCGCCCGAACGGCCTCCACCGCACTGAGCCGCCATGGCGACCGGAGCAGCAGCAACATCACCAGCATCATCGGAACATATAAAAGCCTGCGAAACAAGAAAATCGGATAGCTCGGGCAGAGACACCGTAGCACCCCTTGTTAGCGACGCCACCAAAGGACGATATTCGGACCGCAAGCCCCGGAATATATACATATTCTGATCCTCTATTCTAATTTGAATGGTTTTGCCATTCACAATTTTTATCATATTAAATTTGCAATATTGAAATACTTAAACTTAAGGTTAAAGTACTTTTTAAGGAACTTCAATCTTGATATCAAACAATCGAAATATTTTTTTATCAAAAAAATCTAAATTTGAGTTAATCTAACCAAACTTACCACGTTGATGTTAACTTTAAATCTCTTCCTAAGCTATTGATGCGAACAGATAAGATAGGGACAATGCACATTCGAGGAATTGAACCCCAATCAGTACCGTAGGAAGGTACTATGATACCACTACACTAAATGCGCTTCTTTTCTTGAAAGATAAACTTTGTAAGCTAAATGGTTGTGCCAATCACAATATTTTTGAAATTAAATTTTGCTATACTGAAAAACTTAGACTTAAGGGTGTGTTTGGAAACCTGGAAAATGAGTTCTGGAAATCATTTTCCAAGTTTCCAGTGTTTGGATGTGCCTGGAAAATCAAGTCAACGGAAATCATTTTCCGTTGACTTTGGAAAATAGGCTTGTTTTGGAGGAAAATGACTTCCCCTTTTTTTGGGGGGAAGTCATTTTCCAACTTTTACACCAACATCACACCACCACCAACATCATCAACACCATACCACCATCACCACCACTATTGCCGCCGCCGCCACCACCACTATACCCCCGCCACCATCACACCACCACCACAACCACCACCAACACCGCAACCACTACCACCACCACCACCACCACCATACCGCCGCCACCATCGCCGCCACCACCACCACCACATACCACCGCCACCACACCACCACCACACCACCACCTTCACACCACCGCCGCCACCGCCGCCACCGCCACCACCACCACCACCACCGCAACCACCGTCGCCGCCACCACTACCACCATACCACCACCGCCGCCATCACCACCATACCACCGCAACCACCGCCACTATACCACCGCAACCACCGTCGCCGCCACCACCACCACCACCACCATACGTCCATACCACTACAACCATATATTATTAGTTTTTTTTTTTTTTTTTTGAAAAACTTAGCTATTTTTTATTATATTTAAAATTAATATTATATTATTATATATTATTATACATGTTGTAATATTCTAAATAAAATAATTAAAATGTTTAATTATACAATTCTACTCATTTTCCAGAAAATGAACCAAACACAGAAAAACAGTTTTCTATAATGCAACCAAACACTGGAAAGGAAAATGTTTTTCGGAAAATGACTCATTTTCCAGAAAACGTTTTCCAAAAGTCATTTTCCTGCTTTTCAAACGGACCCTAAGTTTAAAGTAATTTTTAAAGTTTTACTGAGGAACTTCAAACAAGATATCAAACAACTAAAAAATATATATTTTTTTTTATCAATTTTACACCGTGACCAACTAAGCTACTCATGCAAACAGATATGATAAAGACAACGCGCATTCGGGGAATTGAACCTCGATCTGTACCGTGGGAGGGTACTATGATACCACTACACTAAATGCACTTCTTTTTTTGAAAGATAAACTTTGTAAGCTGAATGATTGTGTAGTTCACAATATTTATCAAATAAAATTAGCTATATTGAAAAACTTAAACTTAAGGATAAACAACTTTTTAAGGAACTTCAAACTTGATATCAAACAATCGAAATATTCTTTTATCAAAAAATTTAAATTTGAGTTAATCTAACCATGCGAACATATAAGATAAAGACAATGCACATTCGGGGATTTGAACCCCGATCAATACTGTAGGAGGGTACTATGATACCACTACACTAAATGCGCTTCTTTTCTTAAAAGATAAACTTTGTAATCTGAATGGTTTTGTCATTCACAGTTTTTATCAAATTAAATTTGCTATACTGAAAAACTTAAACTTAAGGTTAAAGTACTTTTTACTGTTTTACTGAGGAATTTCAAACTTGATGTCAAACAACTGAAATATTTTTTTTTATAAAAAAAAATTAAATTTGAGTTAATCTAACAAAACTTACCACATTGATGATAACTTAGAAATCTCTTTCTATTATGAAATCAAATTATTTTTAAAATATATCTTGAAAAGATCTCTCTCTATTGAGGAAATCAATCTTACTTTGTGACCAACTAAGCTACTCATGCGAACAGATATGATAGAGAGAATGCGCATTCAGGGATTTAAACCCCGGCCAGTACCATAGGAGGGTACTATGATACTACTACACTAAATGCGCTTCTTTTCTTGAAAGATAAACTTTGTAAGCTTAATGGTTGTGCCAATCACAATATTTTAGAAATTAAATTTTGCTATACTGAAAAACTTAGACTTAAGTTTAAAGTACTTTTTATAGTTTTACTGAGGAACTTCAAACAAGATATCAAACAACCAATTTTTTTTATTTATTTATTTATTTTTTTTTATCAATTTTACCCCGTGACCAACTAAGCTACTCATGCGAACAGATAAGATAGAGACAATGCACATTCGGTGAAATGAACCCCGGTCAGTACCGTGGGAGGGTACTATAATACCACTACACTAAATACGCTTCTTTTCTTGAAAGATAAACTTTGTAATCTGAATGGTTTTGCCATTCACAATTTTTATCAAATTAAATTTGCTATATTGAAAAACTTAAACTTCGGGTTGCTACATTAAGACCATAGAGCGACCTCTGTAATAAGCACACATCATCCGGCCGTGACGGGTCCTCATAGCCAGGCGGCTGTCGCATGTAGACTGTCTCGGCAAGAGTACCATTAAGAAAGGCGTTGTGAACATCCAACTGCCGAATTACCCAACCGCGAGAGACGGCCAAGGAGAGGAGAAGCCGCACGGTTGTGGGTTTTACAACGGGACTGAAAGTCTTAAAAAAATCCTGTCCTGCGACTTGATTGAACCCCTTAGCCACCAACCGAGCCTTGTGCCGCTCAATTGTGCCATCAGCCTTGCGCTTAGTCCTGAACACCCATTTGCACCCCACAACATTCATGCCAGGCGTGCGACTAACCAGACGCCAAGTGTGATTCTGAAGCAAGGTATTAAACTCAAGATCCATGGCCTCACGCCATTCCGGATACCGAACTGCCTGAGAATAACAAGTCGGCTCAGAGACAGTCATTAGTGCCACATGTTGCGCCGGTCCCAAAGAACGAGTTGCCATAACATGAGACCGAGGCGGAACCGGTTTCACCGTGCGGCGACCTCGCTTGGACGCCTTAGGGGCACCCGGGACTGCCACATCCGGAGCCACGGCAGTCTCGGTGCGGGAATCAGAAGCAGCACCAGCAGCCCCGGAATCCGTGTCCATGTCCGGACGAGGATCCGGCCCAGCAGGGCAAACACCGGAGCTCGCGCCAACCTGAACGGCGCCAACACCCCACGGCTCAACCGGGCGAGAGCGAGAGACCTGAGAAGGTACAGAAGAAGCAAACGGAAAAACGGTTTCATCAAACCGCACATGGCGGCAAATGAATACCTTGTTAGTAGCAAGATCAAAACAACGATAGCCACGAAACGAAGGCGGATAACCAAGAAACACACACGGAGAAGACCGATACTGTAACTTGTTACGATTATACGGGTGCAACAGAGGATAACAGAGACAGCCAAACACGCACAAGAAAGAATACGAAGGACTAGAGCGATGCAAACGATAATGAGGACTATCATTATCCAAAACGCGAGTTGGCATCTTATTAATGAGATAGACCGCAGTCTCAAAGGCATAATCCCAATATCGTTGTGGAACCGAAGCCTGGGCCAAGAGGGCCAAACCCGTTTCCACAACGTGACGATGCCGACGCTCAACTCTACCATTCTGCTCATGGGTATAGGCACAAGATTGCCTATGATTAATACCCAAAGAGACAAAAGTACGGTGCAACCGTTTATACTCTCCCCCTAAATCGGATTGAATAGAGACAATCTTACGACCATATGAACGCTCAACTAGTGACCGAAACTGCTCGAAGATAGCATACACATCAGTTTTCAAACGCATAGGATAAAACCATACATAGCGTGTGTAGTCATCAACAAACAAAACAAAATAACGAAAGCCATTGACAGAAAGAAAAGGCGCTGGGCCCCAAATATCAGTATATATAAGCTCTAAAACATGCGACGTAGTAGTATTGACACGAGGCATGGGAAACATACAAGCACGACACAACTCCGAACTATCACTAAAACTAGACTGAATAGAACACGAATTTAATATCTGCCGCAAGACACGCGGATGAGGGTGACCCAACCGACCATGCCACACCTCAGAGGAGACACGAGAGGCCACAAACGCAGCGGGACTTGAACGAGAGACAGGCCAAGAATAGAGACCTCCCGAAGCCGGTCCTCTATACAAAACTTCCCTGGTTGAACGATCATTCACAAAGAAACAATCAGGGTGAAACTCAAAAAAGACATTATTATCACGAGCAAACCGTTGCACAGACAACAAAGATGCAGAAAGCCCAGGAACATAAAGAACATCAGACAACCGAAACAGTGTTTTAGAAGCGGCTACCGAAGATGAACCAGTACTAACAATAGGTAAACACTTACCGTCACCAACCCGAAGATGATCCGGACCATTATAGGAGACCGCCGAGGACATTAAAGATGGATCCGGAGTGGCACGACCTTATCTTGACGAAGCCATGCACTCCGAGCGGCGGACGACAAGGCCGACGAGGTCACGGCGGCAGCATCCCCCTCGGCAGGCGGTACAGTAAGGGCAGTAAACGGAGGGCACACGGACGTTCCATCGACAAAACCCAACAACCCTTGGCCATCCAGGAACGAAAGAAGCTGAGTACGCCAGAATAAAAAATTGCGGGATGTCAACTTGATGGAAACGAAGTGATGAGCCGAAGAAAACGACACCCCGGACTGCAGGGGTGCCACAAGCGCGGCCTCAAAAACAGTCCGTTCAGAACTTCCAACAGAACCGCCATCAGAACCGAGGTGCGCCATAGAGAGAGAAAAAAAAACCTGCTGATACCAGTTGAGGATATAATATTTCTGAATGATCAAATAATAAGTCTGTACAGGAATATATATAGTAGCGAATAGTAAACCTAATACAAGACGAATACTAGTAACAATAGATAACAAATACTAATGATAATAGAGTCCTAATATAAACAAACTTACCACGTTGATGATAACTTAGAAATCTGTTTCTATTATGAAATCAAATTATTTTTAAAATATATCTTGAAAAGATCTCTCTCTATTGAGGAAATCAATTTTACCCTGTGACCAACTAAGCTACTCATGCGAACAGAAATGATAGAGAGAATGCGCATTCGGGGATTTAAACCCCGGTCAGTACCATAGGAGGGTACTATGATACTACTACACTAAATGCGCTTCTTTTGTTGAAAGATAAACTTTGTAAGCTGAATGGTTGTGCCAATCACAATATTTTTGATATTAAATTTTGCTATACTGAAAAACTTAGACTTAAGTTTAATGTACTTTTTAAAGTTTTACTGAGGAACTTTAAACAAGATATCATACAACCCTTTTTTTTTTATTATCAATTTTAATGTATTTTTTTTTATACATTTTACCCCGTGACCAACTAAGCTACTCATGCGAATAGATAAGATGAATGGTTGTGTCATTCACAATTTTTATCAAATTAAATTAGCTATATTGAAAAACTTAAACTTAAGGTTAAAGTACTTTTTAAGGAACTTCAAACTTGATATCAAACAATCGAAATATTTTTTTATCAAAAAATTTAAGTTTGAGTTAATCTAATCAAGTTGATGATAACTAACAAATCTCTTCCTAAGCTACTCAGGCGGACAGATAAGATAGAGACAATGCGCATTCGGGGAATTAAATCCCGGTCAGTACCGTGGGAGGGTACTATGATACCACTACACTAAATGCTCTTCATTTCTTGAAAGATAAATTTTGTAAGCTGAATGGTTGTGTCATTCACAATTTTTATCAAATTAAATTAGCTATATTGAAAAACTTAAACTTAAGGTTAAAGTACTTTTTAAGGAACTTCAAACTTGATATCAAACAATCAAAATATTTTTTTATCAAAAAATTTAAGTTTGAGTTAATCTAACCAAACTTACCATGTTGATTATAACTAACAAATCTCTTCCTAAGCTACTCATGCGAACAGATAAGATTGAGACAATGCGCATTCGAGGAATTGAACCCCGGTCAGTACCGTGGGAGGGTACTATGACATCACTACACTAAATGCACTTCTTTTCTTGAAAGATAAACTTTGTAATCTGAATGGTTTTGTCATTCACAGTTTTTATCAAATTAAATTTGCTATACTGAAAAACTTAAACTTAAGGTTAAAGTACTTTTTACTGTTTTACTGAGGAACTTCAAACTTGATGTCAAACAACTGAAATATTTTTTTTATCAAAAAAATTTAAATTTGAGTTAATCTAAACAAACTTACCACGTTGATGATAACTTAGAAATCTGTTTCTATTATGAAATCAAATTATTTTTAAAATATATCTTGAAAAGATCTCTCTCTATTGAGCAAATCAATCTTACCCTGTGACCAACTAAGCTACTCATGCGAACAGATATGATAGAGAGAATGCGCATTCGGGGATTTAAACCCCGGTCAGTACCATAGGAGGGTACTATGATACTACTACACTAAATGCGCTTCTTTTGTTGAAAGATAAACTTTGTAAGCTGAATGGTTGTGCCAATCACAATATTTTTGATATTAAATTTTGCTATACTGAAAAACTTAGACTTAAGTTTAATGTACTTTTTAAAGTTTTACTGAGGAACTTCAAACAAG